GCCTGCACTGTTCTTTCAGTGCTTTTATACTGTAACCCACATGCAGAAATACTTGGTGTTGTGACCCAGTATCCGTGGATACGTGTGTCTGTGTAATGGACAAGCACTATGCCCACTGTTTCTTTCCTGTTGTGCATCAAGACGTGACGCACTCATGGGTCGTGTCCTGCCGTTAGAAAAATACTGCCTGTTGGGCTGAGCACTTGTTGTGGGCTAGGCTTGCTTCTCTGTTCTCCTTGTTCCCCCTTCACAAGTGAGGAAATGGAAGCCTAGGTCCAGAGCAGGAGTTACTTGCTTCTAACTAACTTGGAAGGGGCAGGAGAAGGGTCCCGGACAGCTGGGCAGTGGTGCTGATCGCAGCTGCTCTCCTCAAGGTGAAATTCATGAAAAGCAAGCCGGGGGCCGCCATGGTGGAGATGGCTGATGGCTATGCTGTGGACCGGGCCATCACTCACCTCAACAACAACTTCATGTTCGGGCAGAAGCTGAAAGTCTGGTAGGTGCCCCGTCTCCCTGGGCTGGGCAGCGTTGGGGAGGGGAGAGGGCCCACTCTGGACAGGGCTCTGCAGGGGAGCACCGTGAGGCTGAGGTGCTTCTCCAGGCTGGAGTGGGGTGTGGGGGGTATGTTCCCAGATGTTCCTCTGAAGCAGTGGGAGAAAGCATTGACCCCGCTCGGCTATGGAGCAGCGCCCTCTGAGGGCACAGCGTGCTCAGACGGGCACAAGGCCACAGTGGAGGGCTTGGGGGACAACTTGAGATCTGACGAAGGGCTCGCCTTCCCTCCTGCAGTGTCTCCAAGCAACCGGCCATCATGCCCGGTCAGTCCTATGGGCTTGAAGACGGGTCCTGCAGTTACAAAGACTTCAGCGAATCACGGAACAATCGGTTCTCCACTCCGGAGCAGGCTGCCAAGAACCGGATCCAGCACCCGAGCAACGTGCTGCACTTCTTCAACGCTCCTCTGGAGGTGACCGAGGAGAACTTCTTCGAGGTGGGTGCTGGGGCTCAGCCCCTCACCACAGCTCTCTGAGGAGGCCGTTCCTTTTAGTGTTTTGGTAAATGTCTGTTGAGCTCCTCTGCCAGGCCCTGGGATGGGTGCTGGGGACACAGCAGGGACCAGGACAGACAGGCTGAGAATGGCACCCAACTTGTAGCAGCAGTGGAGTTTGCTGTGCTGTTTCCACTTTTGGTGAGCTCGGGTGGCTGCTCATGTGCTGGGAGAGTCCTCCCTGTCGGGGGTGGACCAGAGTCCAATCTCAGAGCGCTGGGGTAGTCGGCGCCTCAGGTGCCGAGATAACATCAGCAGGGAGGGCCCCATCGGGCGGGGGCAGAGGGAGGGAAGTGGGGCACCTGGGGAGGGGAGGAGGCCTGAGTGGCAGGGTGGACTCTGGACCTTGCTGTCACCTGAGAGGTTGCTGTTCAGTTCAGCAAACATTTGCCCAGTGCCAACACACACGCAAACAGCAGGTGAAGATGGGAAATTTAAAAAGCACTTGCCCAATCCTTGGCAACATAATAGTTGAGTGGTGTTTCTAAACCTTCTTAGGGTCACAAGGACACCTAGAGTGTGTGATAAAAGCTTAGAAACACTTTCTCCAGAAAAACTCAAGCTCTCAGTTGTGATCTGCTTGAATTCTGCCACGTGGACTCTGTGTCTTTCTGAGTCTGTGTTCTCTCTCTCGCAGATCTGCGACGAGCTAGGAGTGAAGCGGCCATCTTCTGTGAAAGTGTTCTCAGGCAAAAGTGAGTAGCTGCCCCGCCTTCCTCCCCCACTCCCTGGGTGTAGGTGGGGGCTTCCGGGGTCCTGCTGGGGTCAGCCTGCAGCCTTTGCTTTCCGAGCAGGTGAGCGCAGCTCCTCTGGGCTGCTGGAGTGGGAATCCAAGAGCGATGCCCTGGAGACTTTGGGCTTCCTGAACCATTACCAGATGAAAAACCCAAGTGAGTGTCTGTGTGTCCTGCAGTTGTTCCCCTCGTGGCCTAAGGGGTTGGCTGGCTTCAGGCCGGAGCCGTCCTTCCTGCCCTGGAGGTAGGGCTCCAGAGATTTTCTCCTCGCCGCTGACACAGGCAGGCGGCAGCTGCTCATCAGGAGAGCAGCCTGGTGTTCCCCGTGGGAGGGCCAGCCCGGCTGCTTGCTGCCGCCCGCTCTGGCAGCTGGAGAGTCGCTCAGGCTCGTCCTCCAGGGAGCTGGCATTCTCTCTGTGTCGGAAGATGCCAGTAAACGCCTAGCAGTGTCAGTTGCAGGGGCTGGCTCGATAGTACCAGGAAAGGGGGTAGACTACCCAGCAGGGAACATCTCCCCCCTCCACCCCCAGTTCCTGGGGTGGGCCTATTGCCCGGGGTCAGTTGAGGAGCTAGGAGTGGCATTCTCCGTGGGACTGAAGGAAGAAAAGGAGAAAGAAATAGCTTGTGTATTTGGCTTGTATTTAAGTCTCACATTGGGCAGTGACCAGTTAGGCCTCTGCAGCTGAACTGTAGAAAACAAGAGATGTGTGCAAAATGAGGGGAACTGGGTGGAAGGAGCCTCTAGAAAGGGGCCCAGCCGAACCTCTCTTTCTCTCCTTTGCAGATGGTCCATACCCTTACACCCTGAAGTTGTGTTTCTCCACCGCTCAGCACGCCTCCTAATTAGGTGCCTAAGAAGAGTCCCTTCTGAGCAGGAAAACGTTTCTCTTTCCTTTATGCTGTTTGTTTGCATTTTTTTTGGCAAAAGTTCCTGTATTCCTTTTTTTTAATGCTAGGTTAGTAGAGGCTTAACCATAATGAAAATGCTGGAAGTCTGGAGGGGGAGGGGAAGGGAAACTGATACTCCCAAGATTAACCTTCACTTTTTAAAAATTATTGTACATGTGATTTTTTTTTTTCCTGTTCATACATTTGTGCTGCCCATGTACTCTGCACATTTCAATAAAATTGTTTGGAAAATAAACAGCACTTTCTGGGATTCCAGGGTGTGTCTGCTGAAGAGGTGTGGCAGGCTGGGGCGCAGCTGTGGGCCATTGGGAAATATGGGCCGAGCCCTGAGAGGAGCAGGCTGGGCCAGGGCTGCAGACCTTGGGTGATGCTAGGAATGAAGGGGTCTGGGGGAAATCGGGGACACCTGGTGGTGGTCTTCATGGGCCCTGCCTAAAGTAGGCTCAGTCTAGTTGGACAGTCACTTTAAAAAATAAGTGATGTTGAAGAAATTAAAGACTTGAGAGAAAAAAAAAGCTTTAATCCTGCAAAGTAAACAACCTGCTTTCAGGGTTGGAAAATAAAAGCTCAGATAAAAGTGAGTTGTCCTCCCAGTCCCTTTAAGTCTTTGGTGATTTTTTTTTCCATATGGAAACTTCTAAGTGGATATGTATATATTTTTTTTTTAGCAAATGGCTCTGTTTTATACTGTACAATGTTCTGTGTCATATCAGAGCAACCTCCTTATCTTTAACCCCCCTGCAGAGTATCTCGTGTGGATGTGTCATAATTTACTTTAGCTGGTAATTTCCAATTCTTTGCTATTGCAAACAGTACTATGATGTATGTCATTGTACAAACAGCCGGCTTCCTGATGGTGATCTGGAGGTGAGTTCCCAGCAGTGGACTTGCTGAGTTACAGGATGCGTACAGTCGCAGCACGACAGATAGTCCCCAGCTGTAGGCGGGAACTTCTGCATATGGTTGGGGTTGGCTGTGGGGGGTGATAGCCTGGAAGGAGCCTGTTTCAGGACCTTGGCTCATACTGGAGGGAAGAGGCCGCCTGCAAAGAGAAGCCAGTCAAAAAGTACAAGGCCTTATTCATGTGTGTGCACTTGACAAAGAACCCACTTTGGGAATTTACTGTGAGGAAGTTTTTAAACTCAGATTAGCATCTACTCAAGTCACATGGCATTTATCAGAGGAACAAACTGCTTCACCAGGGAAAATTGCAGACAACCTCTGGAGAAGGGGAAACTAGTCACCTTGCAGCCATAAACTTAATCTACTAGGATTTGTTTCTAAGCCCATCAAGGGGGTAAAAAAAAAATTTCCCCATTTTGTCACCCAGCGCCCAGTGTTCATGGGTTATCACAGTTTTGAGTCTCCTAGCGATACTCCATGTGTATACCGTGGGATCTGTATCTTGGGATCTGCATCGCGGTTTCAGTTTTCCATGGCAGAGATAACCAAACAGTTGATGGATGGTCACTGGTTCTGTTTCCCGAAAGAGCCTACCCGGCTATGACCCGTCCCATTATGAGGCGAGGTACTGCCTGCAGTCCCGCGTGCCCAGAGACATCTGTTCACCTGCTGGCGAACGTCTCCCTAAGGAGCATAACTAAAAAGTGTTACAACACTGTTTATGTTCTTTGGTTAACTGGCCTTTTCCAAAGTGGTTTCATTTTTTGAAGAAATTATTTGAAGAACATGGCCCTCAGAGCCATGTAAATCCCCCTCTTCAGCACTCAGGAAGCCCAGCGACCTTGAACTAGTGACTTGCCCTCCCCAGCCGGTTTCCTCTGTGTACAATGGAAAATAGGACCTCGTGGTGGTGTGGGAGTTCAGATTATACAGTCAGCACTTCATGTTGGCCCGTTTATGTTTTCATTCCCTTATGTGAGCAAACTCAGTACTAGCTAACTTTTTCTTTCTAGTTAATATGGTAGAGTGCAGGGTTACAAACTTGCAGGACTGGAGTTATTCAGCCGTCATGTCCTTGGCCATGTCAGCTGTCTCCAATTTGTCCAATTATAGAACAGCGCTGTGATGAACTTTCTACAGGCATGTCCAGCAGCCGTATGAATTATTTTCTTAGGCCGGGTTCCCACTGGGCCAGAGGGTCCTTTCTAAGCCGCTCGATAACGCAGGAGGCGTCTATAACGCAGGAGGCGAACCAAGAAGTTGATTTCCGGTTGCCCTTAGTAAAGATGGCGGAAAGACCGGCGTCACCGCGGTCAAGCTGCAGCGTTGATGCCCTCGCTCAACATGGCGGCCTATTGTGCCCGCCCCCTTGGCTGTCTCCTGTCCGGCGACTGGGCGATTCTGTCCCAATGGCGGCGGCGATGGCGGCTTCTCTCAGACTCCGCAACCTACTGATGCGGCGTGAGTCACCTCTTGACTTCTGGGGGTCTGTTGCACTGTCGTGCTGTCATAGTGACGGAAGGACGGGGAGGCCTGTCCCGGGTCATGCAGGGTCCGAGCCCCTTAAACTCAGGAATCCGTGTGCTCTCGTTCAGAGGGCTCCCCAGTTCTCTAGGCCTGTGTCTTAAAATCGGGTCGCTGACGGCTCAGAGTCCCCAACCTGGGGTCATCTCACGATCAAGGGTCTGAAGTGGTCCTCAGACTCAGGCCACTAAATGCACCCCTAATCTTAGAGTCTGTATCCCCCTAAACGGAGGTCTCAAAGGGGCCTGTGGTCCCCAGTCTAACGTCACTGAGATGTGTACCCCCTGCTCTTGAAGGGACTGTGTCTCCAACCTGGGTCACCAAAGGCTCTTCCTTCCTTTGTCTCCCCAGGACTGACAGCCCCCACCCACCTGGGTCTCAACCTCAGCCTTCGCCCTCTGGGCTCCTCTGCACAAGAGAAGTCCTCCAGAGCAGCACCCAGTGAAGCCCCAGACCACAGCTATGAGTCCCTTCGAGTGACAGCTACCCAGAAACACATTCTGCACGTGCAGCTAAACCGGCCCGAGAAGCGGAATGCCATGAACAAGGCCTTCTGGAGGTCTCGCCTGCAGATCCTGGAGGCCTGCCTGCGGGAGGAGGCAGGGGCTGAGGGCTGAGGCAGGAGTGGGGCGTGGGAGACAGATCCACATGTGGGCAGGGGATCCCCACCCCAGCCACGGCCCTTCCCTCCTTGCCCCTCCACAGGGAGATGGTGGAATGCTTCAACAAGATAGCGCAAGATCCTGACTGTCGGGCTGTGGTGATCTCTGGTTCAGGAAAAACTTTCACTGCAGGTACTGGGGCTCCCCACACCCACCCCCCTCTCTCCCCTGCTTCTGGGAAGAGAGCAGTGCTTCTTAATTAGGGTTTTAAGTAGCTTCTAACTTCCACTTTTAGTATTTTTTTTTTTTAACTTAAAACATTCAAATACAGAAATTAGTCCAACAGAACTTGACAGGATCATGGGCTCTGAAATCTGGGTTTCCATCCCGGATCTGTGGCCTTGATGGAGCCCCTTCACCTCTCCGAGTCTGTTTTTTAATGTGTTGGTAAAGTGTGTTATAATAAGAACAGGCTTTTGTGCAATTACTCAACACATGTGACCTGATTTCCAATTACATGTCTGTTAGATTTTTTGATTGCCCCACAGGTCTGTCCTTCAGCCTGAATAATTTCCAGTGACCAGACTCACCAACTCCTTTGTCATCTCTATTCTGCTGTTAACCATTATAAAATTTCAGATATTGTAGTTTTCAGTTCTCAAATCTACATTTGATTCTTTTTTCTATTTCCCATTTCTCTGCTGAAGTTTCATGTCTTTTTATTTATCACGAGCATATTTTTCTTTGCACAATCGAGCATAGTTGTAATGGCCGCTTTAAAATGCTTGTCTCCTAATACTAACATCTGGGTCACCTTGGGGTCAATCTCTGTTTATCATCTCTTGAAAAGATGGGTCTTATTTTGCTGTTTCTTTGTATTTGGAATAAGTTTGTATTGTGTCCTGGATACTGGGATGTGGGAAGATGATGTGGAAACTCTGGATCCTGTTATGCAACTCCAAAGAGTGTTGAGTTTCCTGTCTTAGCAACTTAGTTGGAATCAGTTTTTCAGTCTCTTGCTGGGCTCCACGCATGGTTCATGGGCCAGCAAGAGATTTGGGCAGAGTTTATACTCAGAATTTGGGGCTTCCCCTCTGGCTTTCTCCTTTCTGGACTCTCCCCCCTCACTTTCCAGCAGCTAGGGTCACCCTGGACTCTATGCTGTGGTTCTTCAAGCACAACTTCAGCTGGCCTCAGGCTAAAAGCTTTAAAAATAGGTAACTAGGGGCTGGCTTGGTGGTGTAGTGTTTAAGTTCGGGTGCTCCGCTTCAGCGGCCCAGGGTTCATGGATTCGGATCCCAGGCACGGACCTACACCACTCATCAAGTCGTGCTGTGGTGGCGTCCCACATACAAAATAGAGGAGGATTGGACAGATGTTAGCTCAGGGCGAATCTTCCTCGCAAAAAAAAAAAAAAATAGGCAACTCACTTGGTGCCAGTCCTTTCTTCTAAATGATAACTCCCTCCAGAATCTGCCCCGTGCCATCAGGTCGCTGTGTCTTGTCCGACCAGAGCACGGAGTTGTCATCTGTGGGAGGGTCCATACCAGAAGGGAAGTGTCACATACGCTGATTTCTGCGCAGGGCCCAGGCCAGTGCTGGGGACTGAGAGCTGCCTGGGACAGCCTGGGGCCCTGCCCTCATGGAGTTCCCAACTCAGTGGGGACGACAGACATAAGCAATCTATTTCTTTCTGTTTCCTCTCTTCACATCTTCACATGTTTTCTTTCTACACCTCTCTCTGTTTTCCTTTCATTCATTCAACAAACATTCATCGAGGGCACTCCAGTGCCAGCCCTCTTCCTGGGTGCCAGGGACCTAGACACAGGAAGCAGCCCCTGCGTCTGACCCTTGCCCTCATGGGACTCGTGCCTGAGAAGTGAAAGATGAGGCTCCTCTGTGGCTGGGCCAGGCCTGGGACCCTCATCTTTTGGCTCCCAGCTCACTGTGGCTGTCTCGTCTCCTTTTCAACAGCGAGACCCTGAAGCCAAAAAGAAGAAACACAATTTAATTAGTAGTTTCAATGATAGAATGGAACTACTCATTAAAAAAAAAAAAATAGCCCACACTGAAATTTAGCATTCGAGGAGTGTCTCAGCGCTTTACACGTATTAATTAATTCTCACCACAGCCCTACGAGATGGGGTCAAGGATCATCCCCATTTTTCAGGTGAGGAAACCGAGGCCCAGAGAGAGGTAGAAACTTGCGTAGCTCTCACAGCTGGTAGGTGGCAGAGGTGGGATTTTAAACTCAGGCTGCCTGGCTGCAGTCTTTGTCCTGAACTGTGACCCAGATCAGAGCAGGGCCTCTGACCCGGGCAGCCACCCACCTCCCACCTCTGCCACCTGCGAACGCCCCTTCACCTCTCTGTGCTGCGGTTCCCATCCGAAGAAAATGGAGATAGTATCAACTTGACCTGCCTCATCAGGTGGCTGTGAGGATTAAATGAGTTAATACGTGTGCAACGTTAACCCATGTAAAACTTTTATTGATGTAGATGTTATTTATGATTACAAATAACTTAGTTATGATTCTGAATGATGTCTGAAACATTTCGAGGTTCACAGGGGAACAAGGTGGGGGACTTTTCTGCAACATCGGGAGGGGGCACCTTGTACCCCGGTCGGGGGCCCTTTATTTCAAGGGGTTCAGACGCCGGTGTCCCCAGGTCTAGGTCGGGCAGGTAGACCAGAAAAGGCAGTCGGAGGGGGCAAGGCGCCAAGCTGGGCGTGTCCTGGAGTGGGCGTGGCTCGTGGTGTGGAGCCAGCAGACGCCAGCGGGCTGGCCTAGGCCGGTCCGGCCTCGCTGAAGTGGAGCATATAATAACAGTAACTGTCGCGACGCCACCCCACGCCCGGCACTGCGCCGGGGCCTCTGGGGCTGTCTCTGTGAATCCGTGCAGCCCCATCGGCTCTCTTTTTACAGAGAAGAAACCCAAGGCCCAGAGGACAAAGTGGCCCGGCCAGGGTCGCATCTTACAAGTATTTAACCTGCACAAATTCAGCTCTACCCTGAGCCAACACTCCTGTGGTCTCGCTTATTTAAACAAGCCGTGAAGGCCACGAAGCCTCAGAGAGTTGGGGTGTGGTCGACTGTGGGAATGACTTTTCAGGCGTTGTTCAGAGGACAGGCAAAAGGATGGGAATGATTAACCCCAGGAGGAAGAAAGTGAAGGATGATTCTGCTCAGAACTGTCTCAGAGTAAAAGCCCAAGTCCTCCTATTGGCCCACGAGGCCCCACACGATCTGCCCTTGTCATGTCTCCCACCTGGGCTTTTCCCACTCGCTGCCTCCCTCACTCCACTCCGGCTGTGCTGGCCTCCTTGCTGGTCCTCACACAGACCGGGTGCATTTCAACCACAGGGCCTTTGCACTGGCTCTTCCTGACATTTGCCACTCTCATCCCAGATATCCCCATAGCTCCCTCCCTCTCCTCCTTCAGATCTTCATTCACATGTCACTTTTTCAGTGAGAGGGTCCCTGACCACCCCCATTTAATCCTGCAGTGGCCCTCACTGCGTGCGTGCACACACACACATGCACACGCACATGCACACGCACACTCCATTCCACTTCCACTTCTCTCTTTTAATTTTCTTTCAGCACTTGTCACCACCTGACAGAATCTATTTTCTTACTCATTCAAGGGCAGCGCCATGAGGGCAGGGATTGTTGTCCGTATTGCTCACTTATTGAGCTCCTACTGTATACTAGGCCCTGTTTAGGCACTGCGGATACAGTGGTGGACAAAAAGACAAAACCTCTTCCGCTCATGGAGCTCACATCCTGGAAAGGGAGACAGGCACTAAACGAGATAAGCACATAATTATGTGATAACAAGAGAGCAGCCGAGATAAGGCAGAGAAAGGAGATAGAGGGTGATGGGGCCACTATTTAGCCAGGGCGGCCAGAGTGGGCCTCTGTGAGGAGGTGACCTTTGAGCTGTGGCCTAAAGAGTGAGAGTCAGGCTTCACCATCGCAGGGGGAAGGAGTGCTCTCGCAGAGGGGGCAGTGGGCACAAAGGCTCTGGGAAGGGAATGTCTGTGTTGTCGGGACGACTGCTGGAGGCCGTGTGCCCACAGGAATGGGTTGGAAATGAGGCTGGTGCAGGGCTGGCAGGGTCTTGGGACAGGGGCAGGGGTGGGAGTGGGGAGACCAGGGGAAGCCATGGTAGCCAGGGTCGTGGAGAATGATTTGTGGGAGAAAGATCAGATTTGGGATTCTCTTGCAGTTGGATCCACAAAAATTGCTCCATCCCGTCCTCCCACCTCAGGAAACAGGACCACCATCGACTCAATTGCTTGTGCCCAAAACTTTGACTCCTAATAGTGCAAAGCATGGGTGGTTGTGAGGATTAAGTGAGTAACGACTCAATAAACGTTAGCTGGTATTTCTTTCGCAGCCTATATGCAATCCCTCGCTAAGTCCCGTGTGAGTTGCTTTCTCACTGTGGTGGTTTGGGGGTTCCAATCAGTGGAACCTGGGTTCTGACCTCTCGTGGAGGCAAAGAGTGGGGCCTGGGAGACTAGGTGCCTCCTCACGCCTCCCCACCAGGTATCGACCTCACGGACTTCGCTTCGGACCTCCTTCAGCCCCAGGGAGAAGATGCGGCCCGCATCAGCTGGCACCTCCGCAGGCTCATCGCCGGATACCAAGAGACCTTCAGCGTCATCGAGAAGGTGACTCCGGGGGGCTGGCAGGGCATTCCCCCTGCCCACCTCTCCTGGGCCAGCCCTGACCCGCCCCTCCTGTTCCCTTCCAGTGCCCCAAACCGGTGATCGCAGCCATCCACGGGGGCTGCATTGGCGCAGGTGAGTCTGCAGCCACCCATCACCCATCCGGGCGCCCACTTTGGCTGGGCGCCTATTGGCTGCTGCCCTTCCGGATGCTCACTGGCTGGCGCCTATTGGCTGCTGCCCTTCCTCCTCAGCCAATGGCCTCCAGCCTCAGATCTGTTGCTAGTTAGAGTTTGTCCCAAGGTGCCTCCCCAGCACCTGGGAGGAGGGGTTGGTCCTTGTGGTTGTTTAGTGTCCCTGGCCTCTACCTGCCAGGCGTGGACCTCATCACTGCCTGTGACATCCGCTACTGTGCCCAGGATGCTTTCTTCCAGGTGAAGGTGAGCCATCCTCCCGAGCTCTGCTGCCTCCGGACCTGCTTATAGCTGGGCGATGAGCAGCAGAGCGGGGGCGAAGCAGAGACAGGGCAGGCTAAGGGGTGGGGGTGGGGAGGGAGGTCCTGGAGTAAGCCCGGAGGGCTTCATGGAAGAGTTACTCAGAAATGAACGTTAAAAAGTAAGACTTGGCCGTGGAGGAAGTCAAGGGTAGGTCATGCAGTCCAGGCGAGGTCAGGAGTGAGTAAAGGCATGGCAGCAGGGATGATGCGGGGGATGGGGAGGGGGTCAGTGCTGAGAGGGCGGGAGGTAGGATGGAGCCCAGGGATGCAGGAAGGGGGTCGGATGGGCAGGGTTGGAGGGCTTCCCTAGGAAGATAGACGTGGCTGACCCCGAAGAATTGGGAGGGCAGAGGAATTGGGTGGGGTGGGCTCTATTCTAGACTGAAGGAACCTACAGGGGCGAAAGGATGTGGATGGGAATGAAATGGGGTATTTGGGGGGAGTCTCTGAGGTGGGGGTGGAGTGGGACCTCTGCCGAATTTCATCGGCACTGATGTTGCACGGAGGACAATATTCGGCAGAAACCAAGCACTGACATGACTGCTCCCCGCAGGAGGTGGACATAGGTTTGGCGGCCGATGTGGGAACCCTGCAGCGCCTGCCCAGAGTCATTGGGAACCAGAGGTGGGTGGGGAGCCCAGGGGAGGGGGCCGCAGGCGCCTCCTGGACGGGGGATGACTGCCGTCCCCTGACACGCCCCGCCCTCTTGCAGCCTGGTCAACGAGCTGGCCTTCACCGCCCGCAAGATGATGGCTGACGAGGCCCTGGGCAGTGGGCTGGTCAGGTAGGGGCCAAGGCCCGTGCTGGTCAAGAGCTCAGGGCGGCCAGGCCTGGGGGTGGGCCTCTCTGGGTCTCCGTGCCTCCTCACTCACGGATCCAAGTGGCTTCCTCTCTCTGGGTGGTCAGCTTTTTATGCTGGAGTCTAATGCCCTGCACTGATTGGTCCATTTCGGGGGGCTGCTTCCCGCTGTCTCCTGTGATTGGCCACTTCTTCATCCGTGGGCGGGAGGGGAGAGAACCTGATTCCCTCCGTCCGCAGCCGGCTGTTCCCAGACAAGGAGGCCATGCTTGATGCCGCCTTCGCCCTGGCGGCCGAGATTTCCAGCAAGAGCCCGGTGGCGGTGCAGGGCACCAAAATCCACCTGCTCTACTCCCGTGACCATTCGGTGGCCGAAGGCCTCAACTACATGGTGAGGCTCTCCGCCCAGCCAATCCCTGCCCTTGTCTGATCCCAGAGCGACCAATCAGGGCTCAGCGGCCCTCTGCAGGCCTTGCCCTCTGATTGGTGCGCTGCTGTCTCCCTCCCGTTTTTCATTGGTCCAACTCCAATCGTCCCCTGTCTTGCGTGCCCCGCCGCCCTCGATGCAGGCGTCCTGGAACATGAGCATGCTGCAAACCGAGGACATCGTTAAGTCCGTCCAGGCCGCGATGGAGAAGAAGGAACTGAAGAGCGTCACCTTCTCCAAGCTCTGAGAGCCCCCGCGTCGCCGGCCCTAACCCCGGGTCTGGCCTTGATCCACCTCGTGCCTGTGTTTCCTCATCCACAGAGGAAGGCCTGGTGAAGATGGTCGCCTCGCCGCCTTCTCAGCCACCCTCCCCGTTTATAACTTTATGACACTGATTTCCTCATCTTATCTTTGCCTTACGAACAATAAAGCAATGTAAAGAACCTGGTGCCCTTATTGGAGACAGGAGAGGCGGAAAGGAGCCAAGATGTGCCCGGGAGCCCCAACGACCTCAGTTGCACTGAAGGTCGGGGATAGAGATTTGACCAATGAGAGTGGGAGCCACGCAGGTGACGACCATTCAGAGCTGGCCGTGGGCCGGCGAGGACCAATAGAAAGTTGGGCGGGGATGGAGCCAAAGTCACAGGGCTCCCTCTGGACTGAAAGGCTATGGACGGTCTGCCTGCTCCGGGCTCGAGGGCCGTGTGCACCGTGCCTGGCGCCTTATCACTGCTCAGCAGAGTGGGATCCGGCGCAGGGGGCTGGCTAAAGTTCCATTGCTACCCAATCTTGGGCCCGCTGCCTCATTTTTTTTAAGCTTCGGGTATTCTTATCCACATATAATCCCAACCTCCTGAATTTATGTTTGGGATGAGTGCAAGAGACCACGCCTTAATTTAGGGCCTTCTGTATGCCAAGTCCTGTTCTGAGCATTTATTAACTTAGTGATTCGTTTCAAGGACCCTATGAGGTTGAGACTATTAATATCCCCATTTTATAGATGGGCAAACGGGCAAATTGAGGTTAAGGCACTGACCCAAGATCACACAGCCAGCAAGTGGCAGAGGCAGGATTTGAACCCAGAACCTCTGGCTGCAGAAGTCAATGATCTGAACCACCATGTATATAATTAATGTACATGGTAAAGGCATGTAGTGGGCGCGCAATAAATTTAGGCCCTTTCACAGTTCTTGGGAGTGTCTAGAGCACCCGGTTCTGCCCTGCTTTCTCTCGCTTCCATTGCCCATCTGTCCTGGGCCACTCCTGTAGCCCTGCCCTGCCCAGCCCACCCAACCTCACCCTCCCTCTGCTAACAAAGTTCCGGGCAGGGTTTTATGGGCTCTGATAAGGCCCTGGCAGGGCCGAAGTTCACCAGCACCTCCTCTGCAGAAAGGCCTAGAGGAGGGGGCCCTGAGCTCAGGCCCCCAGGCCTGGTCCAGATGACCTGGGTTCTGGCTAGTTATCAGCGAGGCTGGTAAGAGAAGGGAGTGTAGAGGATGCCCTAGGTAAGATGTGAGCCTGGGATGCCTAGAAAAGGGATCCCGTGGACCCTGCCCTGTCAGCCACTCCCTTACCCGCAGGTATAAGAGCCACCCACCACTGTCATCTGCCACCATTCCCCACTCCTGCCGCTCTTCTCACAGGACGAGCCACCAGCCCAGCCTCTCAGGATGGCCTTTGTCCCTGCGCCAGGCTACCAGCCCACCTACAACCCGGTGAGATGCCAGCCCAGGCCCTAACCCCAGGCCCTGGCTTAGCTCCACCCCGACCCCCACGCAATTTACCCTCAGCCTGATCCTTGGAGTCACCCACCCAACCCTTGGGCTGATTTTCCCAGTACTGATCCCGCCCTGACACTCGGGCCATTCATGTCATCCCTAACCCTCGTCATCCCCACATGGATCCCTCACCTCTTACTCCCGCTCCCTCGCTTAAAGGAGTGGGGGGCTTGCCATGAAGGGTAAAGGCTGCAGTAGGCGAATGGCCTTCGAGGCCCCTCACCCGGCCCCTTCTCCAGACGCTGCCCTACAACCAGCCCATCCCAGGCGGTCTCAGCGTCGGAATGTCCGTTTACATCCAAGGAGTGCCTAGCGAGCACATGAGGAGGTAAGACTCTCCCCCATGCCAGGCCAGGCTAGGAGGGGGCTATGAACCCGGGGCTTCTGGCCCAGGTGCAGAAGGCCGTCTTCCCTTCCTCCACCCTGGTTGGGGAGGGGCTCTATGTCACGGCCCCCAATGGCCAAAGAGCGGCCCTGGTCTGGGGAGTCCAGGGCTTGGTGATCAGATCAGAAGGGGGACCCTGGGGGCTGGGAGGGGTCAGGGACGCTCACCATGAGAGGTGGCCCCAGAGTTGGGACTTTGGATTGGAATTGATGGGTGTGATAGCATGAATTAAGATCACAGGCTAGAGCAGGGCCCCCTGAGTTCACATCCCGGCTCGTCATTTACCAGCTGTGTGACTAGGAAAGCTGCTGGACCTCTCTGTGCTTTAGTTTCCCGTCTGTAAAATGGGACTGTTTTGAGGATTCCACGTGTATAAGATGTAGGACCGTAAAGTAAGTGCTGTAATAAGTCTTAGCCTTTTTATTGCCTTAAAATGGTGATACATATTGAACTGACCTCATAGGATTTTTGTTTCTTCGTTCATTGTTTCTTTGCTCGTTGAGTGCCCGCTCTGTGCCTGGGCACTCAGGGCAGAGCAGTCAACAGGACAGACCGAGATCCCTGTCCTCGTGGAGCTGACATCCTGGTAGAGGGGAGAGATCAAAAATAAACAAATCAAGTCTATAATATGTCAGATGGTGATAAGTGCTATGGAAACAAATAAGGAGGGAGATGGGGAGTGGATGTGGGGAGGAGGTGTGGCATTGTCCCTTTAAACAGGGTGGCTGGGGAAGGCCTCCCTGGGAAGGGAACATTTCAGCAAAGACCTGAAGGAGGTGAGGGAGGGAGCCTGGGGTGTATCTGAGGGAAGGGCATTCCAGGCAGAAAGAACAGCCAGTGCAAAGGCCCTGTGACAGATGTGTGCCTGCCCCGTTAAGATCACTCTGGGGATGCTGGCGTGAGGAGAGGTGTGGAATGTGCGTGCTGAGTTGGGTGTTCACAGGGTCCCCCTGGCTGTGCTAAGGTCGCCCTCTATCTGGAACCTGGAGCAGGGTGGGACAGACAGGGCTTCCCGGAGGGGGGCCCCTTGCTCTGGCAGGTGGGGCCGGGGACCAGCTCTTCCCTGTCCTGCCAGGTTCTTCGTGAACTTCATGGTGGGGCAGTCCCCGGAGTCGGACGTCGCCTTCCACTTCAACCCCCGCTTTGATGGCTTGGACAAGGTGGTCTTCAATGCGAAACAGGGCGGCCAGTGGGGCAGAGAGGAGAAGAAAAGGGAAATGCCCTTCCACAAGGGCGCCCCCTTCGAGCTGGTGTTCATGGTCCAGGCGGAGCACTACAAGGTCGGAGCCCCTGGGCGCCGCCACCCCCCCTTCCTCTCTCTCCCTCCCTCCTCCCCCTCTCTCTCCCTCCCTTCCTTCTTTTTCCCTCTGTCTTCCCCCTCCCCCCTCCCTTCCTACCTCACTTTTCTTTTCTTATCCCTCTTTCCTGCCTATGACAAAATTCCCTCATCCTTTTTCCCACTCCCCTTCCTCTGCTGCGGAGAGCCTTCTTCTTTTTTTTTTTTTTTAACTGTGTTTTTTGTTTGTTTGTTTGTTTGTTTGTTTTTTGTGAGGGAGATCAGCCCTGAGCTAACATCCATGCTAATCCTCCTCTTTTTGCTGAGGAAGACTGGCTCTGAGCTAACGTCTATTGCCAATCCTCCTCCTTTTTTTCCCCAAAGCCCCAGTAGATAGCTGTATGTCATAGTTGCACATCCTTCTAGTTGCTGTATGTGGGACGCGGCCTCAGCATGGCCGGAGAAGCGGTGCGTCGGTGCGCGCCCGGGATCCGAACCCGGGCCGCCAGTAGTGGAGCGCGGGCACTTAACCACTAAGCCACGGGGCCGGCCCCAGAGACCCTTCTTGTACGTTGAATGTCCATCATCCTGTCCCTCTGTGCTCTCTAGAGTGTTTAGTTTTGCAGTTTCTCGTAGAGAACTCTGAGCTCACGCAGAGGATGCACGCACCGGGACAGTGAGCCCGTCTCCTGGGCCAGTGGCACTAGCCGTCAGCTCGCGGTCACCCTGCTTTCCTCTCTATCTCACTCCTCCCCTCCCAGAGTATTTAAAAGCAAATCCCAGATACCAGATCATTTCGTTCAGAAATGTTTCTGCTTATAAAAACACAGTCACGATGCCATTATCACACCTGGTCTGCGCCCGCTGATGGCTCTGCAGGCCTCCTCGTCCCTGCTCTGAGGTCACTCCGTCCCAGCGTCTGGCTCTGATAAATGACACTGCAGGGGGTGTCCTGGTGCACATTTGTGCCCACATGCACCACTGGAGGAGCGTCCTAGAGGGGACTGCAGGGCTGGGGGACCTCCCTGGACTTGGCTCGCCCTCATGTGGGCACCACGTTTCTTTTTTTTTTTTTTTTTTTTTTTAATTTTTTTGTTTATTGCAGTAACATTGGTTTATAACATTGCAAAAATTTCAGGTGTACATCATTGTACTTCTATTTCTG